TTTCAACATCTTGCAAGCATGCATCGTTAATGAAGTGAGTCCAGAGATAGTCTCAATCCAAGAAGGAACTTCTTCAATGGCAGTATCGGCTAGACTAAGATTTAAAAGGCTGAGGAAAACTTGTCAACAATGAGCATCCACTAAGATTGAGATATTTCAGAGATACCAAGTTGATGCTGGTTGGAAAAAGCTCAAGACTTGTGCCCATAGTTAATTGTGTCAGTTTCTTGAGATTTCCTATTGAAGAAGGAACCATCACCAAACTTATGCAATTGTTGAGAGACAAACTCTCGAGATTGGTGGCCTTTGAGAGGTCAGGAATTTCCTTCAAGTTATGAGATCTTGATAAATTCAGCGTCACAAGATTTCCAAGCGACTGAAACCAAAAAAAATGCATGCATTAGTTATTCCCCAAAAGTAAAAACCGGGATCACTTCTGGACCTGGTTAATAAAAAAAGGGGGTCAAATAATTCCCGTTAAACTACACAAAATGGGTTACAATTGTATTCTCATGTTGTGGTTCAAACTAGGAACTTCCAAGAAACTACAAGTACTTCTCCACAAGTTTGGTTCTATTTGTTTTTTTTTTTTTAAACATGGGGATCTCTCTTAGAAAGGGAAATTTCTTTTCGAGTGAATAGACAAAAGATCGACTCTAGACCAATGAAAATTAGGATGTAAATCCAAATCTCGAGCTTATAAAAATACTGCAAACACCATCTCCCCTTTTTTTACTAACCGTTGTAATTGTAAAATAGTCCCATTAAAAAAAAAATCAAAAAATTTATCCCAAAAATGGCTATTTTATACCAAAAAAGAATACATGGTAATCAAAATTTACAAGAGCTTTTTTTCAAAAACTTATATGAAATTTATTAGCTTCTCAATCTTGGTACCTCTCATACTTAGTTGAACAAGATTTCCTGGACAAAACTTAGAAGGCATACATCTCATTGGAAAATCATCCCAACATAGTTTAGTGCGCCCACATATATTCTCAATCCAAAGGCAATCTTCTTCTCCTTTTATCTCAATGTCATCTAGAAACAACCTTTTAAGGTCCTTTGAAATCCGAGGATTTTTTTTTCAACTTTGAGCGATCTTTGAGATTAAGATATTGGTGGGATTCTAAGATAACATCATATGGAAGAACCACGAGACTTTCACAGCTGTGCATCTTTAACTTTCTCAGTTTCTTGAGATTTCGAATTGAAGGAGGAGAAGTGTAACCAAAGATGTGCATCCATAAAGATATAATTTCTCGAGATTTTTGGCATTTGAAATATTTGGAATCTCTTTCAAATTTCTGGACAGACACAGATTCATTTTCTTGAGATTTTCAAGTGGCTGAAAACAAAATAAGTAAAGAAGACGCATTCAAATTATTGAAATAAATTTGAACTCAAGAAACAACATTATGCTTTCAACATAATCACTAATCAAATGTACATATATACATATATAACAAGCGTTTGTATAGTACCTGATCTCCTTCCCATAACTTCTCAAGCTTACTATTTATCATTGTGAGTACAACCAAACACTCCACTCTAAAGTTAGAAGGCATACACTTCATTGGATATTTATCCCAATGAAGCAATCTAAGTTTAGGAGGTAGACTAACAAGGCCTTGAGGTAAATGAATTTTGACATCCATATTTTCCCACCACTGGTCCCTGTAAAACTTTAAAAATTGGAGCTGACGAAATCCTTCGAAGGATTTTTCGTTATCTATATATAATAACTCGTTCGTTGTTGATGTGTTCAAATATATGCATAGCACATTTTTTGTGCCCTGAAAAAAAAAATCTCAAAAAGGAAAATTAGAGTCTTTAAAATCACAATACTATATCAAAACATATAGAATTATACAAATAAAAAGAATATGTCAAAAATACTTACGGATGTATCGTCAAATACTTCACGAATATCCTCAACATCCACCAGAAATCGACTTTTACTAGGATCGTTAGGCGATTCTGTGTAAACAATTTCTTTGCCCAACTTTTGTAGCAAACTATGCATTTGTACAATGTTGGATGATGGTATTATACGTATGATGGACTTAGCAATCAACATTTTGAGCCCAATGTTAACACTATCTCCGAGAAAATTTTTGATAGTATGAACTTTTTCACCTGTGAATAAGCATGCAATGTGAAGGAATATAGCTTGATCTTTTCTATCTAACCCATTATAACTAATTCTTAGTGTTTTCTCAATATTACCATCTAGATCATTCCGAAGCCTCGACAACATCTCCGCCCACTCTTCTTGTCCTTCCCACTCAAAGACGAACCCAAGACATTGAGACCTAGAGGAAGATTACCGGCAAGTTCTGTAACTTCAACTGCAAGATCCATCAAATCTTGAGATGGAAGGTTTTGTCCAAAAGCAGATCGAGAGAACATCTGAAGGGCCAAATATTCATATGGAAACTCCACCTCATAAACGAGGTCAATCTTATGAGACTTGAGAAGTGATCTATCTTGAGTGATCACAATAACTCTGCTCCCAAGTCCAAACCAGCCAGTTTGTCCCACCAAGGTTTTTAGTAGCTCTAAATTATCCACATCATCAACAACTATAAGAACCCTTTTTTGGTATAGCCTTTGTTTCACCGCGCCTAATTCAATTAACTTTATGTCCTTTTGACCTAGAATCTCTGACAGAAATTGTTCTTCCCAAGACAATGTCATGCCATAGTCTACCTTGTCGGTTCTCTTAAAAACTACGAAAGCGCAATGGTGGAAATGGCTAGAGAGTTTACTGAACAGAGCTCGTCCTATGGTACTCTTACCAATCCCTGAAGGTCCCACAATCCCTACCATTCTAGCTTCTTCAGATCCCAAGCACAACATTGGAATTAATGTCTCTATATGAGCTTCGATCCCAACAAAGTCGCCAAAATCATTGGACGGTACAATTAGTTTATTTGAAACAATTGTGGTGAATTTTTCAATCATGTTTGCTTCACTACTACTAAAATCGAGAGTCAAATGTCAACAAAGAATACCATTAAAAGTATGAATATATCTACCAATTTAATCTTAGAAACAACATACCAATTCCGAGAATCCTCTCCGGCCAGATTTGCTACCTCTGTTAGAACTTGCATCCATCTTTGTTTCACATCCTCTGTTTTTCCTTTGCATGTTTCTTCAAAGGCTTTGCCAAACTCTCCGCTTTGTTTTCTAACGTCAGAAGGATCAACATTGTAGAAAACAGGAATTACCATTTGATCCAACTCTTTGTAGCACTTGTGGATCTCAACCAGCTCGTTAAGGCACCAGGTGGAAGAAGCATAGTTCTTAGAGAACACTACAATTGAAATCTTTGATTCTCTTATTGCAAAGAGAAGCTCTGGGGCGATTGGGCGGCTTCTCTCTATCCCATGGTCTATGAATGTATGGGTTAGTTTTCTCCGCTAAAGCTCGAGAAAACATCGTATTTTCGGTTGCTAGAAGAAGCCATGAGAGATAATAGAGAGAAAATATAATTTGAGAAAACGTTTAATGGAGATTCTCACTGTTTATAATATGTTAATCTAGAAGAGAAACTACAAGTTTGTTTCCTGGAAGATAGAAAGAAGATTTAAAGGATAGGAGGAAGAAGTTTTCAAGGTTACTTGCTTGCGTCCACACGATG